CACATGGTCACCGGGCTCTTCAGTGAAACAGGGGCCCTCTCCATCAAAGGTAAACTCCCATCCCACACAAACAAGTTACACATAGAAACAGTGCGATTCAAACTTTTGCTAGGGATTTCTTTATATCAACCATCAAACAGTTGTTATAATGTGGTGGTAGATCATTTAAAGTGTTCTTTTTCTGTAGGAGTTAGAGCCCATTACAGAGGAAGAGAAGGAGATGGCAGCCGAACTTGAAGCCATGATGAACGGCTTTATAAGTGAGGACACTGAGAGCAACTCAGGAGCACTGGACTCTCCAGCAACACCGGGGTCCTCCAGATCACACGGGCCTTCTCCAAGGAAAAACTTTTATTCTCCTCGGAATAATCCTTACTCCCGATCGGAGAGCCCTCTGGAGGTGGCAAAACAGGCCAACGGTGCAAGAAACTCACCTAAAGCCAGTCCCCCTCCGCCCTCTGCATCACAGGTAAACTCCCATCCCACACACACACTCACACACAGGACACAGTGCTGTTCAAACTTTAACTGGCTTTCTTTATATCAGCCACAAAACAGTTATGTATGTGTTGGTAAATCATTTAAAGTTTTATTTTTTTCCTTGATGTTAACTTTTGGTGCTCTAAAGTTGCATTGTGTAACTTTTCTGGTGGAGGTTCTGTCAAATGCTTTTGGAGATGTTATTGCTTTATCTGGAATGTTTCACAGTTTGGTATTACACCTTTCTATCTTCATGGAGACCAAACCGGACCAAGTTACAGGTCAGGTCTGTGGAGAGGCAAACCCCGCTCACAGTCACAATGCCTGTTTTCATTTTTGAGCTACAAAACTACCTGTAGTTTAATAAATGTAAGGTAGAGCTGATTAATGTCACACTGTGGAACATTTGAGGCAAAGCAATAACATATCTATAGAAACAAGCAGGTGACCAACCCCAACCAAAATGTGACATAGTGCACCTTTAATTTATACAAATGAAAACAAAGTATTTGTGTGCTTTTACAGATCCAAGAAACGTCGATGTCGTCGGACTATTTGACAGACACCGACGAGGACGCGATGGCAGAACAAATTGAAGCCATGTTGGACGGCCGTGTTAGTATGGGCACTGGTAATGAAGTTCCACCAACATCTCCTGTGGACTTCCAGATGCCATCAGCGTTGCAACACCAAATTGCTGAATACTACAGGGCTCAGAATTCAACTGAAAATTCTGCCCTGGAAAACACCACACGGTCCCCAGTCTCCCCGGTGATATCAGGCCCATCTTCACAAGTTGGACCTGCCCCAAGGAGAAACTTTTATGCTCCTCGGAACAGTCCACCGTACTCCAGACCAGCTGCACCAACAGTAGCATTGCCTACAGCTCGTCACGTTGAGCCACCAACACTGATGGTCCAGTCCAGTCCTCCAGAGAGAGTCGTACTGTCTAACACAGGGAACAGTCAACCAACCTGGAGCCAGTACCAGCAAGTGCCTGGACCATCTGCACACACGGCAAATCCACAAATGCCATGTGCAATTGTCAGACCCTCAAATCTTTGTCCAGTTATAATCAATGGGAGAAAAATGTTCCAGATAACCGGACCAATAGGAACTGCCAATAATACAGCCCAAGCAGCAGTCAATCGAGACAAGAAGCCTTACATCAAAAAACCTCCTAACGCCTTCATGTTGTACAAGGCTGAGCAGAGGGAGCTTATTATGCAACAATTTAATATCACTAATTCGGCGGAGGTGAACAGAATTGCCGGGGCGAGATGGACAACGCTCTCAGACAATGAACAAGCCCCATATTTCGAGCAGGCAAGAGTGGCTAAGAGGGAGCACGAGGCCAAGTTCCCAGGGTGGTCCCCCATTGATAACTTTGGGCGGAGGAAACGGAAAAGCAACACAACATCACCTGCAGCTTATACCCACCCCACAGCTCCAGCAGGTCCCGCTCAGCCTTTATGGAACTACCGTGCGATGATGGTACCACCGGGTTATAATGGAACAGTCCCACAAATGACTGGATATACCAGCCCAACAACAGTTCCCACAGCTCCCTTTCAGACCATGTACTACAACCCAGAAATGATGGTGGGTCCAACCTACCAGCCAACAAACATTAAATAAACAAGTACACGAAGAAGCAAAGGAGGCGAGGACATGTGATGAACATGTTATGTTGTAAATAAAAGTTTTCTGTCAATCAGTCATTGTGTAAATGGATGTATTTTTTAGTGCTGTCATGCGATTAAAAAAATTTAGAGATTAATTAATTATGATCTGTAATTAATTAATCTAATTAATCTCATTTTAATCTCACCTAAAAATTGCTGAGAAAAGCCTTCAATTTGAGGTATTTTCATTTAAATTCATTATTACATTATTGTGGCAGATCAAAAGACTGATATAGATTAAAAAAAAGTGACTTTATAAAGTCATTTATTGTTTAACAAATCTCTCCAAATTGGCTGTTGAGCCCAAGTCTCCATGAATAAGAAACTGTTTGCTGTAAAGTAGCAAAGACGAGGAAATCTGAACATAATAACTTTTGTCTACTTAAAGACAATAAAAAGTCCAGTCTTTCCTTAACCATATTAAAAATATTATTGATAGAGAAATGCTTTATATATAAGATCACTGGATTAGTCCTGGTTTAGACCTGCTTTAGTCCTACTTTAGTCCTAGTTTAGTCCTGGAATGGATTAATCCTGGTTTTAGTCCTGGTGTTAGTTCTGGTTTGGTCCTGGTTTAGACCTGGTTTTAGTTCTGGTTTTAGTTCTGGTTTAGTCCTGGTTTAGTCCTGGACTGGATTAGTCCTGGTTTTAGTCTTGGTGTTAGTTCTGGTTTAGAGGCGCACAGGAGGAAGCGCGGTTTACGCAGCGTATGCCAGAAAACATGATCCACACGCGGCTCACGGGAGCACGTCGGTGTCCACGCAGTAACTACGGAAGGAAACGTGGTCCGCGCGTTCTCAGGTTAATGACGATGATGAAGGTGTGTGTTTGTGTTTGTGTGTGTTTGTGTGTTTGTTTGTGTGCGTGTCCCCTCATGTGGCAGGTCACTATAGGACAGTAGTGCAGACATCATGAGTCTATGCAGGTTGTTTTCACCAGTGACATTTAAGTTGTAGGCGATTTTATATTTGTTATTTTCTTTTATATTTCACGTCGGGAGAAGAATTTCCAAGACACGAATGTGTTTTTCCCTGTGCACTGCTGCCTCTGTTCTACTGGCTCTTCGACCTCGTCCATTGTGTGACTGACGCTGCCAACGTGAACATGACGTTTACATCACTCTTACTGCGCGCGTTTTGTGTGGGTTTTCGGCAATGAGTGGAATTACCGAAATAAAAAAAATGTATAAATGTGGTTTTTGTGTGTATGTGTGTTGTTGTCCCAACAACACATAAAAACAGGTTTTATAATAAAGCAACTCACATACAGAAACAGTAAAGTTAGAGATTAAAAATGAGATTAACGCGATTAAAAAACATAACGCACTAAATCTGACTGTAATTAATTAATCGCAATTAATGCGATAATTTGACACCCCTAGTATTTTTACCCAAGATCCAGACCAGTCATGAATAAAAATAAATAAATAAATAATAATAATAATAATAATAATAAATAATAATAATACTAATAATACAATGTATTTATTATAACAACATATAAGGGTGAGTTATTGTACAGTTGTAGGGAGTATTATCTGTTACATAAGAGTGAGTTGTTGTACAGTTGTAGGGAGTATTATCTGTTACAAACATAAATTAATAATAATGATAATAATAATACAATGTATTTATTATAACAACATAATTTAAATACTATTCAAACATACAGTTAAAAACATACAGTTAAAGTGGGACAGTATTTGAATTGATTGATTGAATTGAATTGACCTCCATGAGCTCTGAGCTGTTCTTCCTGGAGGAAGCAACATATGCTACCTATGTAGCATGTTTTGCAACATGTTACATAGGTAACATATGTAAAGTTCAGCAGACACAACTGTCTCCACTCTCCATGAAATGGGATTCATACAGATGCTTTTATGATATAGTGTGCAGCCCAGAGCTTGTATATATCCAAACTCCTGATGGAACTTGATCAAACAACTGTCTCTGTTACTGGACCTACTTATTTATTGTCTGTAGGACAAGCGTCAACAACACTGATGCTGTCAAGAAGAAATAAATCAAGAAACCTCCTAACACCTTCATGCTGCACAAGGCTGAGCAGAGGGAGATTATTCTTATGAATTTAATATAAGCTATTTGGCCAAGATGAACAAAATGGCCAGGGAGAGATGGAAAATGCTCTGAGACAATGAAACTCTTATGTTTTACCCGTCTTCAAGTGTCAAAGTTAATTATCTCCTGACTGTGAAATAAAAGTCACTCTACTTTGATCTAGATGTAGTTTTACATTCCTGATACACACAGATGCTCTGGAGAGGAGAGAAGACGACACACTTGTTTGGTCTGTGACCAGGGCAGGCCTGGGCACTTGTTGTATCTGAATAAACTTTATTTGTATTTCATAACTCACCAGTGTCTTATTATTCATCAATACAAGAGATATAAATGATTACACATCAGATGCAAGGAAGGAAGGCAGAAAGGAAACAAGCACACAAGGATGCACGGATGAAAGGACGCAAGAAAGGAAACAAGGAGACAAGGCTGCAGAATGAAAGGACACAAGAATGCAAAGAGGCAAGAATGCAAGGGTGTAAAGAAGCAATTAAAAGAAAGAATGCATTTTAAAGACTTTCTGATTGATATCATGAACAAAAATTTTAACAAATTAGCTCTCACTTCCAATCTGTCCTAAAGTCAAAGAAACTCATTTTAAAATTTGTTATTTGTCCCTGTAAAGTATTTCAATATTTTAATTTTGTAACAGTGAAGCAGAAACTTTTTTTTTTTTTAATTGTAGCTATATTTGAACCTTTTGGGAAGTATTCCAAATGTGGGTGGTGGAAAATTAAAGATAAAATTCAGGTGAAGATAAGCAGGTTGCCAGTTTTTTTTTTTTTTTTTACCATCGTCTAGAGATATCAATGACAAGAACATATAGGGGGTTTTATCAAGAAGGGTTGGGGTAATATTTTCATCGTGGTAAAATACATATGGCTTTTGAAAACATGACTATACTGAGAGTAAACTGCAAACCTCTGATGCCTTTTTTCAGTCCAATCCAACTTTATCTGTAGAGCACATTTTACTTGTAATTTCATTTAATTTTTTATATTTAATTTAACCAAAGTGGCAAGGCAAATGTATTTGTACAACACAATTCGTACACAAAGCAGAGGTGGGACCAAGTCATCGTTTTGCAAGTCTCAAGTCTTTGACCTCAAGACCGAGTCAAGTCCCAAGTCAAACACAGGCAAGTCCAAGTCATGTCTCAAGTCACTGGTTTATAAGTCCAAGTCAAGTCCAAGTCGTCTGCTTTGAGTCATTTCAAGTCTTTAAATGAAAGTACCAAATATAGCTTGGACTTTTGCAATTTATATGAGTATGTAAGACTTGTATAAATAGGATTTTTTCCTTTTAGTGTGAATCATTATGGTCAGAACAGAATTAATTCAGATTTAAAAGAGCTCTTCAAATCTTCTCAAGTCACAGGCTTCAAGTCCAAGTGAAGTCCCAAATCACTGACCTTCAAGTCCAAGTTGAGTCTCAGGGCTTCGTCCATTTTATCAAGTCAAGTCACAAGTCCTAAAAATAGTGACTCAAAGTCTGACTCTTATCTGTTTTTGAAAATGAATTCTTGACTGGCTTTAGTGGTGGAGGCAGGAGGAAACCCACATCCCTGAGGTGGAAACCACAACATGTGCAGCTCTTAAACCACCACACACCAGCGAGCACAAGGAGTTCTTTTCAGGTTTTCAGGTGGAGGCTGGAGGGTCCACAACCTGCTTGACTCCATGCAGATGTTATTTCTTTGCCTGGAATCTTCCACAATATGGCATCATTAGTCTTGTTCATTTTGCATTTTTAGGATTACAGATTTTGTTAAAAAAGAACACATGGTAAAAGCAGGGTTGCCTCACAGCACTCATCATCATCTTATCTCCACGGAGATGGAGATGCTACTGTGGAACATACCAGGCAAAGCAAGAACATTTCAACAGAGACAAGAACACGGGGTTATGACATTTTTATTTTTATTTATTTATATGGAAGATAAGGTCCTTGAGATGTCTCGCCATCTTGTTTTTGTTGTGGACCTCATAGTTACAAAAGCAAAAGACAGATACAGTAATGTGCGCACACACACACACACACGCACACACACACACACGCACGCACGCACACACACACACACGTCTGTGGATGAGGTTCAGTATGACCCTGAACAAGAGCACACATCTGATGAGGAAAACCCAGATGTCGCAAAGGCTGAAAGAGACGTCTTCAAGTCAAGAAAAGGTGACATTTCATGGTCACCAAGCCTCTTCACACCCAATATAATTATACTTATATAAATTATATTTAGATTATATGTATTATAAATAATATTATTATGATTATAGTACAATTATATAATATAATTACTAATTGTATCACTATAGGAAATATAATTAGTGAATTTAAACATTTTTTGTAATCAAAAACAAGTGGCATATTTTAAGATTAAACGTCTGTGGAGTCAAAAAAAAAAAAAAATAAAAAAAAAAAATGTTTCCATGGACATGAACATATACTAAGTTAGTTATGAGGAGAAAAACAATATTGGATAATAACTAGTGTTTTTAAGTATTTTCAGGCTGAGTTAAATCACGGGTCAAATTTGACCCGGTAACACTAAAGACGCATGTAGCTTTCTAACACAATAAGAGGGTTAATAGGCACAGTGTGCTCGCGTGCTCTTGGGAGTGTGGGGTGTTTTTTGCCTGGCACAGCAGTCACGGTGAAATAAAAGAAACACTAAAGGAAGGAGATACAGACACATGCAAGTTTGATCTATTCATCTCTTCTTCTCTTGTTTGTGATGATCGATGAAGAAACTAGAAGTCGCCATGTTTTTCTTAGATACACTCAGCTCATTCTGTGCAGCTGATGCCATCAACATTCCCTGGGGGTGTGATGCTAACTGTAAGCACCACTCTATCTA